TACTGCCTCCTCCAGCTTATTATGATGGGGAAAATCCAGGGGATGGGGAAAGTCGTTGGAAGGAGGAACAAGTCATGGCTGCGAAACCAGGGAATGGACGGGAATAGAAACGGTTGAGGATAGCTACACCAGTCGCTTTCAAAAGCTAACGGCCAACCTTCAGTAATGGAGAGGCACGAAAAGAAGAAGAAGAACAAACAAGTGAATTATTTCACTTGTTTGTTCTTCAACAACAAGATGCGCTATTGGCTTATTTGGCTTTTCGCATTAGGAAATTCATATACTAAAACTAAAATGCGTTGAAACTGCAACTTACGGCTTTTTCATCTGCAGACGTGATGAATGATGATATTCCTACTACCTATTTAATATTCAGATTTTTAGACAAAGTCTTACAGAAAAATCATAAATCAGTTAGAAACAAGTTGAAGATGAAATCATTAACAACAATGCACACGGCATATTGCCTAAGTGACTTCGAGACAAAGTGTAACATAACGAAATAGCAGAATAATTGAGAGCATTAATTATAACGTGTTCTTGTAACTCATAATTTTTAATTAGCGGCAAGATTATGATTATAATTTAAAATATAATAACGTGATCATAAATGCCGACAAAACGAAATGCTCTCATTTGTTAGCGCATAACTGTACGCTTATCCTAATAAGGCTCGGGCACAATAAAACCTTAACAGATTTAATTGATATTATTAAGTTCGTTCTTACCTGACACCTACGCTGCTAGAGGAAATTAAACTCTCAGACATACAATAAAGGTACAAAATGGTACATAATGTTCGTAACATTTTTTACTGTCGCTGCGAAGTCATGTAGAAGTAACGAATCATCATTTTTTTCAGCGCAGTCGGTTTTCGTGGCGGCTTGTTAGTCGAAGTTTAATTTGACGATACAATTAATTTTGCTGTGAAATAAGACGACATCGAGGTATTAAATCTTTATAAAATATTTTTCCGGTTTTCTTCTTTATTTGGATCGTAATAAGTAGATTTGAATTATAAATAAGCATCGCGATGTTTTTATTTTTTTAGAAGCCTTCTAGAAATAAATCGTTCTTACTGTGTTAATGAAAAAGGCTGTCGCATTTGCATTAGCACAAGTGGTTACAGAAATAGTCCGTTTTTTTAATAAACAATTTTAATGTCACATTGTAATTTTCATAATTCATATTGTGAAAAACTGTTATTTTAAAAAGAAATATAAATGAAAATATTATTTTTAAAAATCAATTTGTCGATGTTCTTGGCCATTCACAGGAAGCTCATCGCACTAGCATTATTTTTTAAATAACATTTATTACCATACGCAGCGAATACGAAAAGAAATGTTGCTTGTTAGTGCGAGTAATGGGCGGTACAGTCGCGACGAAACGCCATAGAAATTCCATTCCTTGCTTAGCCGAGTGAATGAGTTCGCGTGTTCTCAAATAGCTAGCTAAATATGGGCTTAAAATTTGCGATCACTAACTCGAGTTGTAATTACCGGCTAAGCCGATCCGACTTAATTAACCTTGTTGTGGAAACACAAATGCTACCGTAGATAGGTGGGAGTTATTGCGAGGCGAATAGCGAAGGCAAATCAACTCTTAAGACTATTGATGTGAAAATTACAGTGATCCTTGCCTCGTATTTCAAGAGTTTTACGATCTGGCTACTGGTACTTTGGCAGTTTAGACGCTGAATCAAATTAGCAGTGTACTAGTCACACCACGCAGAGCGGCGATTGGTGAACGAACGCAGAGCCAAATCTACACTAATATATAAAGCTGAAGAGTTTGTTTGTCTGTTTGAACACGCTAATCTCAGGAGCAAATTGAAAAAAATATTTTTGTGTTAATTATAGCATTAATTCAAGAATGCTTTAGGCTATAAAACATTACACTGAGACTAATAAAAGCGAAGAATAAAGCGGGAAATGTACAGAAAACAGGAAAATTACTCACCTTTGTGAGTATCCGTTTGGTACACTGCGAAAACGGTTCAAAATACCCAAAAAATACGTATGAAAGAAGGACTCCTCTCTAAATGATCTAAAAAAATGTCTTGCATACTATATGTCTATCTTTTAAGATTAAATTCCAAAGACGGTGGGACGCGACGGACGTCGGGGATCTGGTCAATTTTGATGCGCAAAATAAGTATACTACGCGGATAAAGTTGCTGACACAGCTAGTATTTTCTATTGGGGATTCGATGGAAGGGTTCAATCCATTTTATATGGTAACATTTTTTCATTTTTAATTATTTGATATTATCTTCTGATATTTCGCTAGTTCACATATATGTTTGCCTTATTTTGAATACATAGAACATTCAGTGCGGGCATCCATCTGATGCCCTTTTTCTCACACTCTTTGCACTCAGAACATAAAAGGATATTGGATATTTCTAATGAATTCAAATGCTAAACAGAGTCAATTAAGTTCATGTTAAATTTAACTAATTAAAATAAAACTAAATTCTTAAATCATTTTCAAAGAATATTATTATCTAATGAAACGACAGTTATCTTGTGCATTAGTTTTACTCTTGCTTAATTCAATTAAAGTCAATTCATAAAAAAACACCATAATGCAATAATATTTTTGAAAGTCGTAGTTTAATAGCTGATATAAAAGCTCATTAGTTCGCGTTTCCGCGCGACAGTACCATCAAAATCATTGCGATTTTAACGAGTAAACATATCGCCCTAATTGAGATTACACCTTTGGCCAAAAAATTATGTCGTTAAGGCTTAAAATGGGGCTGATTTATTGAGATGTCTCCGCCATAGACAGCTGGAAAGTGGAGCACGGCTTTTTGCTCTTCGCTGCACGAAATTTATTATTTGCGAATGGTGCTTTCTTTGTTGCTAGTGCTTTCATTCGATTAATTCATTGAATCTGTATGGATATCTATTTTCATCTCCAAAAACGTGGAACTCGAGGAAAAGGTGTATGAAGGAAATAAGTTATTCATCAATCATTATCGGAGCTAATTAAAGAAATTGAATTTTTACTGTAACAACCTAGCGCATATGAATTTTAATATTAATTCGTTGACATAAATGAATATTTGCTCTTGCCCTTAGACTGAGCTGTTAAAACACCTAATTAGTGATCATATATTTTGTATGTTATTTCCAAAAATATACATTTAATTTATATTTAAAATGTGTGTGTGTGCACAATTAAATACAACTTTAATGGTTCAAAACGAGAAATATATTACTTGTTCAAAATCGTAGTTAAACAAAAGTTTTTAGCGGTTTTTTTCGGTTATGAAGCGTTTTATTTGAAATACATTAAGATAAGGTTCAAAAATCGATTTTGTACTCACTGACAACATACATCCTTATGTCGCTGCTTCACAGTAGGCTGTGATAGTGCGCTTCCTATGAAATAATATTTATACCACAAATTAAACAAAGGTTTCTCACAAGACAATCTTAATGTATAGTTCATCCGTCTTGAATAATTAATGATTGGTCTTCAGAAGCCCACGGTAGTTGACGGTAGCATCACTGAATTATTTACTTCTATTATTCGAAAATGGTAAGCTACAATCAACTCTATTACCAATAAATAAGGCTCTCCAGTAGTTGATACGCGATGAAGCAAATATTGTCCCAATACATTAGGATAAGGAATTGAGAAGTTCTCAGAAAGTAGTCTAAACGGAAATGTCTATATAAGAGGAGTTTTTATCACACCTTCATTTCAATTCCTCCCGTTTGCATTAATTATAACTAGATACATAAACATTACATTACATATTTTCTTTGTGACAAGCAGTTTCTTTAAATATATGCCTAAACAATTAAATATATTTGAGTTGTCGGTTGCTTTATTTGTAAATACTTACAAGTATAATTTTATTAACACTGGCTTACTTTAACGTCTCTTTGAACGCCTTTATTGCTTAATGATTGAACTTGTAAGCATAGAGAAGCTAGAGAGGTACCGCTTGCATTCGAATCCCGGAGTTAAATTTCTTACGGCCAGGGTACGGATACTTGCATATAAATAAAAATCGATCAGTAAAACGAATACATCCTCTATATCCTTATTCTCAATGGGACAAACATGTCCCATTGAGAATAAGGATTTATTAAGAATAAGGATGCGATTAAAAAGTAATAATCTAAGGATAGCAAATAAAAGATATAATATGTTTGCTGATTTATAATGAGCATTCAATTATGTGATATTGGCGTGAGCAATACAAATGTATAAAAGTATAAAAATCTGCAACAAATGAAAAAAAAACAAACAACGAAACATTATTAACACGATTCAAATCAAAACGCGATCTAATATTATATAAATTACAAAATATGAATTAAACTAGCCCCTTACTCGAAATGACTCAATTAACTGGCCTAAAACTAAAATAAATACTTAACATCCAAAACGATTCACCTAATATGATACAATTTAAGTATTTGTACAATTTTGAGCTTCGACAAACTGGCCACAAATCCCATTGTTACAACTAAACTGGTAAACATTCAAACTGGCATAAATTTACAACTGGCACAAAACAATACGATCAATATCTAATCGATAACTAAAACAAATGTTAGGAAGCAAAAAGTATTATGGCGCGCAAGAACAGTTTATTTCTAAAATTGTCTGAACGATTAATATTAACATAACTTCTACTTAAATAAAGCTGTTCTTGCGCTTTTAATAGTCCCTTCTTCAACTTCTAATTTACACCAAGTTCCTGTTAGGTATAATTAGAATATTTTTGAACACATTATTGTAAATTCATAGAAAAATACAAGTTACATGGCATTTATTATCACTTAACTATCTCGTGACTACTATTACTACTAGAATACTATTCTACATAAAATCTACAATAATTAATTATCAACTCTACAAGGAAGGAATGTTCGAATCTCTTAAATACTGTATGGCAGAGTATTTCTTATATTATTTTTTATACATTTCCATCTAAAAATAGTATTTACATATAAATAAATTCCGGTTATCTATTACCCCGTTAAAGGCACTTCTTCAGTCCGTTTAGATACGAGACTCAAATCCAGCGGGTTCTTCATCATGTCTTTGCTATCAGTATTCAGGTCAATACTGAGCTCAGGTTCTGAATCGCTGACTTCTTCGTTTTTAGGACTTCTAAAGAGCACAGCTGTGGATTTAATTGAAAGATCTATCGGCTGGTCTTGTTCCACAGCTATACCTGCAACAGCTGGAGAATGGAGGAGCAAATCGCCTCCGTTGCGACCTTGCCAGCTCATAGCTGGGATCTGCCGTAACTGCCCAATGGGAGATGGCATAAATGGCACACTGCGTGGAGTAAAGCTTGCCGCGGACATAGGTGGTGACAATCCAAATGGTGCTAAGGATGGTTTCTTTCGCCTCACATCCTTATTTTGATTTCTTATAGCGTGTAAGCGGATATCTTTATCGCTACTAGGTGATGACGCAGGCCGGAATATACTCAAGCCGCTGGTGCTTCTGGAACTATTGTCATCTTCTGGATCGGCCGACGAAGCGCCCGAGTCTGACGGCGATACGCTCTGCCGCGTCACATCTTCTGTGTAGCCCGTCTTCTCTGAATTCTTGTAGTATTCCGCAAGCGCCGCGGCCGGTAAAAGATTCGTTGGGAGAAATGAGGGATTGATGGATGCATTAAATGTCGGCGCTGATTTATTAGTTTGCAAGTGTTGAATGTGCTGCTGCTGCTGTTCTTGCAAGAGGCAGTGGATTTTGAACCAGTTGGACCGCCTGCCGTACCTCGATCCAGATTTCGACATGCCGACGAGGAGGCACTTTCGCAAGCGGCACGCCTTGCACGCCGTCCTGTTCTTTTTATTGATGACGCACTCGCCATTGTTCTTGCACTCCGATATCGAGGACAGGTTGTTGTACGTCCGCCCGAAGAACGACTGCAACAAGAGAGGTAAATTTAAATCGATGGGAATCGACGAATTCAGTTTTCGTAAAAAGCGCGCATTAATTTCGTGTAAAATATCGTCTTCCGCGGCGGTTATAAGAAATAGTAATTTATGCGGCGTACAGTTAAAGTCGCATGCGCCTGCGCATCGGAATTAAAGAGTGCATTTTTCAAAAAGTCATCATAAAGAGTCGCTCGCGGCGTATCTGGGTCATATCGGTTAATATTGCCGATGTACTCCTGCGTCCTGTCGTGTCCATAAATAATGGGTGTAATTCGTGGATTTTCGGATTCGGAGGCCGTCCCGCTGCGACGCGGCTCTCGCACACAATTAAAACCGTACAAAGGATAAATTATGTGATTGTGCTACAGTTTCTCGCGGTTTCGATTTTCACTAAATAAAGAACTGTCACATTATTTAAGATTGAAAGAACTCGGTTATAGGATTTCAAATGAAATCCGATATTGGGGAATAATTGGACGCGATTGGAATCTTTGAAGTCCATAATTCGATTACTTTATATCGAAACGATTAACAACTAATAAAATGTGTTATTGATCATTAAAAGCAGTGTCTTTGTACCCACATCGTTTCTGCGACTAATTAAATTATTATTTAATTGTATTTATACATTGGTAATTCAAAATATTTGAAACAGAGAGTTATCCAAAAATTAAAGAAAATGTTAACACGGTGTGACTTTTTATTTATATTTGTATCTCCTACCTGTCTAATTTATAGAGATCACAATAGGTCTGGAGGTCCGATAAATTATTTAGGTCGAGCAGGGCACAGGACTCTGATTAACAATTTAAATTTTGTTAAAAATCTTCTTGAAATGTCTAATAAAATGTGTTTTTCCTACGTAACAACGTGTGTTTTCCTGCCTTAAATTTTAAATATTACCTAATCTACTATCCATAGGTAATATATTTCTTACAGCTACCTACAAACTTTCGAGATCAAATTTCTAAACGCGAGCCAGGAAGTCCGAGTTTTCGCGAACGCATGAGTCAAAAGATGAGAAATCCGAGATAGGCCGCTAGCCGCAACGGGTGAGGATATCGCGGTTTAGATACGACGCTCTAATTGAGGCTCCTACGTGACTCCGATGTGCACTGTAATTGTGCTAGGGTATTTTTATTGTTGGTCATATTCTCGAGATTAATTGGTTATGATATTTGCGAGAGGACACCGGGGTTATGTGGAACGAATAGCCTCAATGCAATCTCTAGAGCGATTAATTGCGAATTACGAGTATGAATATAAAGTAGACATCATTAAAATGGAGTTAGTTGGTTCGGAATAAAATATGTTTTGTGGGTAGTTGTGATTTTTTTCTGCAATACGACAAATTAGGTCAGCTGCGCGCTGTCCGACGCTTTTTCGTGCCACTCGGGAGTCGGTTGTTCATATTGCAAAAGCTGCAATAGTTGTTGTTTTGTAATAGTTTCCGCGAGTCTAGTGGGTTTTAAAGAGTAATTACGTATTCCAAAATCAGTGTACTGTGTGGTGATACAAATTTATTTACCCAATTTCTGCTTTGTTTTCATTATTTCATTAAATTTCCAAGTAACATAACAGCATCCGTAATTCAGAAGACGGTCACTAGACCAAGAGACTAGACTTATATAGGTTCTAAGAGAATAGAACCTATATAATTTAAAAATCGAAAAAATATTCGACTCGGGCAGGACTTGAACCGGCATCGTCAGCGTTCCGTGCTGTTGCTCTACCAATTGAGCTACCGAGTCCTACACCTCATCGTCGAAGTGGAACATTTTCATTTTTTCAATTTATTTTCGATTTTTTAATTATATAGTGCCTTTATGTGCAATAACATGTAAACAATATTATTTTTTTCAGAATAGAACCTATTTAGCGATATATTTTAGCTTGGAGCCGTATAAAACCTTGACAAGATGCCCTGACGACTTTTATTGGTTCTATATATTAGGAAAGGCTGAAACTGAAACGCGAGTAAACTAAACTTAACTGTATAATAACTAAAATAGATCGACACGGCATCTGTTAGGAAATAACTTTTCATCTAGTGAATTCCGAACTTGCCTCTCCTCCATTGTCATATAATATAATATTTAAAACCTAACTAGCTAATAACTATTTAAATTCCTTGCGAACCTAAAGACCATTCAAGTCATTTCCTACTGCCATTTGCAGAAAATCATATCGTTTGTGATTTATTTCGCACGAATATGAATAATGGAAACGTATCAACGTCTCATTATAGAAGCAGCCAATACGGTTCTAATACAACTATCCGATGGAAAATCACCCTTTTGCCATTACTAATAGAATTCAAAATACTATAACTTTTAATTAATACGATGAATGTGTTATTTTCGTGTTCTTTACTTAATTATAGACCTTATAGAGATAGTAGTAAATGTAATTTTCGCGTTTTTGTAAAATGTGGCTGAACTTAGAAAGAGCTGTGAATGTAACCTTTATCTTAGATCACGCGCGATCGCAGGAGTCAAATATTTTTTCTGTTATTATCATATTTTTTGTATCTAACGATTACGATATTACTGAGTTTAAGAAAATATACTTTTAAGGATTATAACATGAAATTAAAATTACTGTACATTACTGTACTTTTTTTTTGTTTTATCTTAACTACGCCCCGACGTGTATGCTTTGCAACAGCCAAGGTTGCATCTAAACTGCGAGACTAGCGCCATCTGTACGTAGGCTTTGACTTTGGGTCGCAGTTAAAAATAATTAAACAAATATCAACAAAATCTCGTTTCAAAACGTAATAAGCGTTTTATTTAAATGTATAAAGTACTACTCGCGTAACTCATTGGAGTTATCTTTCTCAGTATTTAGAAAAATACTTTTCGACGAGTTTGAGATTTTGGCAAAAAACAATTAGTTGGTTCTTTTAAACAGTTTCAACATAATTATGTGTACAAACAGTGTCTATAATGCTAGTTAAACGAGTAAGGGTGACCGTAGAAACGTCTCGTTGTTACAATCATTAACTTAATATCTTGATCCCGAGTACAGCGTGTTACAAGGACGGCCACTTAGTCCCTAGATTTATTAGTCGACCGTGTTACGCTTGTAAGCCTCAAATAAGTCCGATGCTATCGCTACTCAGTGTACGGTTAGCCCTCGCTCAACAGAACTACGTTTTATAAAATCATTTATTTAATTAACCCCTACTGATCATTATTATGAATGGAGAGATTTTTTTTCTTCTTATAAAGAATTAAAAGTGAAATATTGTTTCAAGCTATTTTATAGCTATTTCTAAGTATTGTTTGCAGTTTACGCAAGTACACATTTAAATAAAACATAACGGTTGACAACGCGAAATACATCAGTAAACTTATTTTTCATTTGTTTTAACTGCGGCCTGTGGGCTTTAAATGAAAAATAAGTTGTAACGCATATATTTTGCAGTTAAAACAGTTAAAAGTGTTTCATTCAAATAATTTAAGTAAATTCTAAAAAGCTAGAAAAAGGGCTATAGTAACATAAATCAAAATTCAGCATTTTTTTGCCAAAAAGAATAACAGACATCTTTATTTTAAATTTTTTAGCTTTTATTTTCTTTTAAGAAGAATATTCGACTGCATATAACTAAGTAGTGTTTGTAGTTTATACAAAGTTAAACGATGAGATTAAGAATACTATGTTTCGCATTTTAGGTTAAAAATTGATAATGGCTTTAAAAATTTGTATTTTTTAAAAAAATGTTGGAAACAAATTTGATTCTCTAGTACAGCTTTCGTAAGGCCATGACGCAACAGCCATATGACAAAGTAAAATTTTTGTTTCGCGTAAAGTCGTGTCGTGGGTGTGGTTTCTCACGACCTCAAAGCGCCATTCTTTTATTTCCACGTGATTTTCTCAAAAGGGATTATTTATAGGCGACGCGTCATAAGATTAAGATTTATCTGTAGCACATTCTGACATGTTAATTGTGTATATAATATATAGCATTTTGAATAAATGTATTTATGTATATGTTTCTTTGAGAACAATTTTATCAATTTTACAAATTTTGATCTTTGTGAGAAGTGTAAATTATCACTACAAACTATAAAACAAAGTCGCTTTTTCTGTTCCTATGTGTGCTTAATCTTAAAAACTACGCCACGGATTTTGATGCGGTTTTTGTTAATATAATAGATAGAGCGATGCATGAGGAAGGTTCACAGTTTTTCTGTAGTGTATTTACCCGAGCGAACCCAGGTGGGTCGCTAGTGTAACATAAAGTAAAGTAAACGATATATTATTATAATGTTTCTTCGACAGAGGACGATAGATGGTTGGGAAGAGATGGTAAAATATCTCAGCCGTGTAACATCTACCATCTTGTTTATCGTGTCGACCTATTTTCGCCTTCGACTTTAAGAAACACCGTCACAGTCGATTCTTTAGAATTGAGCGAATATTTTAATCGATAAATCAAATTAATCAAATAGCATGAACGCTAAAACATCTTTAAAAGTTTTTGTGTCTTGAAAAGCCGATGCGGATCCGACGTTACAAAATATGCTAATTTCAATATCTTACGTAATGACAAACACGCGATGCACACTTGTTAAGAAGTGGCAATACCAATAAAATCACTTGGCTTCGAGTTCAATGTAAATAATTTCGTCTTGTGGCCATAACTTGAGATGATTCGGGTGCGCGGTCACTAGAGCGATTGCGCTTACGAGCTGCGCCAGCGCACCTTAAAGAGATTTTAAACAGTTTTGGATGCGAACCCAATATTATTGCATGCTTTTTATATTTACTCAACAATGTTTAAATACTGTCTGTATTCTATGCGAGCGGCTAGCGTAGCAGTTTGAATTTTGACAATACAGACATCTTCCATTTTTACTCGTACTAGCAAAGCATTCGAAATTTCGGGAGTCAGTTAAAAATAATTTTGTTTTATTTAATTATGGGTATATATTATTATGTTCCCTCCCTTGTTCGGTTATATTTTTAGACACTGTACAGAA